TAGATGCCGAAAAACGTACAATGTAGAGAAAAACAAAAGCAATAGGTTGAATGCCTAAAGGCATTCACCCAAATATATTCTGGTATTATGATGTGCAAAAGCACTATGATTGTAAATTCACATGATGTTTTTTTTAATCAACATTGTTTATTTCAAATGTAATCAAATCAACAGTAGTTACAGAAACAACAGACAGCAATAATACTGAGTGATTTAGAGCCATGGTTGGGTTTGATGAAGTGCCATAAAGGTGTAAAATGAAAATAAAAATCCACTGTGTGTGTGTTTGAATGGGTGTTATGTTGTTAAATTTCTGGTTGTTCCAATAAAGAACAACAAGCAGGAGTCAAAGCTCTGAGGACAAATGTGGAGAACCTTGAATGGTCCACAGTATATAAATACAATACATTAGTATTCCACTTTTACAGTACTTTTTTTTCCTTTAAAACCTTGTCCCAATATATTTTTATTCAACTTCTGAAAACTGTTAGTGCTTGTATGCAGTACTTCCTTTCACACTGGTCTAAAATTTTGATGTCTGGTGGTGCACTGGGTGAGTTCTTTAATTGGTTTACCAATCTGCTTACTGAGAGTTGCAGGTATTTCAGTTTTTGTTACAATCAGCATTGATGGGAAGTTTTGAAGATGTTGACGTCCTTTCTACAGGATGCAAGAGTGGGCACAGTACACTTCTTTACTAAAAAAAATAAACATACGCGTTAATTGAAAGCAAGACCTTTGCTTGGAAAGGTTTAAAATCTTTATCATATCTGACTGCACCACCTTGGAAACACGAGTCTGCTTTTGAAGCTGAAAAGCTGGTTAGCCACGGATTCTAAGTTTTAATTTACTCTGCTCAGATTTAAAACTGCAGTTGATGCCATTTAAACATAAAGATCTCACTGAGCTGCAGCTGCCGGGGAGGCAAATAGCAACAGTTAAGGGGTTTCTCACTTCCCTTGTTTGAGTCCCAGAGGTTTGCAGTCTCCCTCTAAAAATAGTCACAGATTTGTTGCAAACGTCTTGAACCCTTCTAGATTCTGCCTCCAACACCTGCATGGCAGCTCTCCTCAAACATGAAAGACCCATGAACCACGCCAACGATAAATAATTAATAAAAACTGGTCGAAATCTGCTCATTTTGATGTCAAAAGTGTACTCCAGAATGAATCATAGATGTTGGGGGGTGGCTGCCATGGTGGGCAATGAAATAATGTGCACAGAGTGCAGTTTTGCGAGCAGTGCACATAAAAAATAAACCATGACTTTTAAAAACTGACCTTCCAAATTGCGGCCTCACGGATCACAGCTCACTTGGTCACAAACCCCAAATTTGCCTGTTTTCTCGCATTATGGAGTCAACTTCGAGTCACCAACTCATCATAGTCTCTAGTAAAATATTACCTCTGGTTAGTGGTGCCTCTATCAGAAATTAGATTACTTTGAAAGGGAGGGATTCAGCAAACAGTCCAGTTTTAATTGCATAAGAGCTACACAGCTTTAAATAAAATAACATCAAACCTTAGAGGTAGATGTAGTGATTTCGTTTCATGATGAGGTTTGCTGCCATCCCTCCTGAGCCAACAAATGTCATCATGAAACGAACAGCATACCTCTAACAGCAGCAGGTGCAGTGAAACGTGGAGTCTAGTTACTCAGTTTACACACAGTATGTAAAAATCTTTCCAATTCACACTGTATCCTGATGAGTCTTTGGTTTCAATGTGATGGCAGCAAAATGTAAAAACTGTATAAACAAAAATCACGTTTTTTCAGTGTACCTAACAGATGTAACATTGCTCAGTAGAATTCTGACCGGGACATTGATATTAAGTGTCGTTGGAGGAAAAAAATTGGATTTCTATCGTGAAATATTTACCAGCTGAAACAAGTGTTTGGATTGTGTATTGATTTGGAACAGCAATCAATGGAACAGCATTCACATTTAAGTAAACAACAAAAAATAAAAATAAAAACAAGAAAGTAGAGAATAAAAGGCCACTCATAGAAAAATGCCAGCAGCATCACTGCCATCATATAAATGTTGAAATGTTTGCAGTTACCTGAATCTGCAAATGTTTTGGCTTGGTACTTCTATTATCAAGTTGATGTGGATAAAAAGGTATAAGTTGAAAAAAAGAAACTTGCTACATAACTGGAA